TAAAATTCAATAAGAAATCAATCTCTTCTCTACCCCAAAAAAACTATGGGGAAAATATTCGAACAGACACTTCTCTATAGAGAATAAAACAGGTTACAATTCTGACACTTGTTCCAATGTGTGTTTTCTCCAACACCAGTAAGCAGTTCTTTTGGGTTTTTATGGAGGCTTCATTACATCAGCGTAATTGATAAGATTATTGGCCATTGGTGACTGAACTTAATCTGTAGCTTCTCTCCCCTTCCCAGAGGTAGGAGGGCGGTAAGACTGAAAATTTTAGCCCTCTAATCACCTGGTTGGTTCACATGGCAGCCAGGCCCCATCCTTAGGTTACCTAAAGGCTTCCCAAAAGTCACTTCAGTAACGTAACAAAAGACACCTTTATTACTCTCATCACCTTGGAAATTCCAAGGGTTTTGGGAGCTCTGTGCCAGGAATGAGAACAAGGACCTAATATGATATATTTTATTATTAATCACAGTATCACACAGGTATATGAAAAGATGCTTAACATCACTAGTCATGAGAGAAATGCTGTTTAAAACCACCTTGAGATACCACTGTGTACCCCTTAGAAAGGATAAAATTTTTAAGGCTGATCATATGAACTGTTGGCAAAGATTAAGAACATTTAGATCTCGTATACTGCTGATGGTAATGTAACATGATATAATCATTTTGGAAAACAGTTTGGCAGTTTCTCAAAAGGTCAAACATATACCTACAAGATGATCCAATCAATCCATTAATATTACATATTAGAAGCACATAACACATAAACACATCTAGTCAATGAATTGATTCTACTGATTCTACTTGCATTGTGCATCATTATAACATTGTCATGTATTTATTTGAATATTTTATGTAGAAAGCACTGGTTATAATGATACCTACATAAAATGTAATAGGTAATAATGTTAGGTACTAGTCAGACATGAGCGACGGGAATAAAGGAATAAAAGACCCAGCCTAGCATTGTCCAAAGAACACCCTATTGGTAGTTAGATAATCCCTTCTACATCCCCAGAGACAAAATATAGGAGAGCCAAAATCTATAGCTGTTTTAATTTGGCCACAGACATCTGTGCAGAAGGTACTACCCTAATCTGCCCACAATCTAAGCCTCATTATACTGTCATTATAATACTATGTTTATGCCTGGAAGTTCATGAATCTAATTATAACAGACTGAATTCTGGGTAAGCGCATGTGCATAGGCAAAGAGTTATATAGCAGCCAAGTTTCAATCAAAATGACCTGACCTCACATGCCAATCACCTAGGAATGCCTTTGGCATCACTCATCATGGTCCTAATATAACACAGATCTTCTCACTTCTGAGTGGTTCAGCTCTCTGCACTGAAATCAGGTTCCTCCTTGGAGCGTGCTCTGTCTTTCTAAAATATACTTTTAATCTTTTCTAAATATCACTAACCTGCATCAGTGAGGAAAAACCGAGGAAAAATTCTAATTACACTTCTGCATCGTTATCACCCCACCCACCACTGGGATGACACCAAAGTTCAAATCTCCCCCAATGGTAACAATAACATTAAAATATTTTTATTTTATTTGTGATTTAATTTATTTTTCCAGTTTAAAATACAAATATGAACAAATTTTAAAATTTAAAACAAAGGCATGCTACTGATATAGAACTAAACAGTGATACAGGAGCTAGTACTATGACTATAATAAAGAGAAAAAAGAAAACTAGAACTATCTTGCAAATTTCACAATAAACTGCAAATTGGCTGCAGTAGGAAAAAAGCTGCTTGTTTTGTGTAAAATATTTTTTAATAATAAAATGAGTAATATTAAGACATTTTCAGCAAATACATAATAAATTTTTAAAACTTCTTCTCAACAGTCGAAAGAAAAATGATAAAATTAATCACCTAAAATCAGGTTTACAATTTTCTTTAAACAATTTATACCAGGATCTGAGCTTGTAACTTAGCTGTAAAATAGCTTAAATTCAACAAAATGAAAAAGCAACCTATGGAATAAGATAATATATTTGCAAATCATACATCTGATAAGGGGTTAAACCCGAAATATATTTTTAAAAAATCTCATACAACTCAATAGCAAAAAAAGAAAATCGGATTTTAAAATGGGCAAAGAAACTGCATAGACATTTTTCCATATAAGACATATGTCAATAAATCTGATTTCAGGTGGTTAATTTTATCATTTTGTCACAACTTTGATTTGGTCGCCAGAGAGATGAACAGAGCCTATATCATCTATGCCATTTTTTAATAGATGATACCAACTATTAACAGAATATGGAGCAGCGAGAACACTTATGTGTTGCTGGTGAGAATGCAAATGGTACAGGCACATAGAACACAGTTTGACCATTTCTTACTAAATGAAACAAATAAGGATCATATGATCAATCAATCTCATTATTAGGCAGTATCCAAAAGAAACAAAAGCATATACCCACATATAGCCTCATATGCAAATGCATATAGTAACTTTATTACAGTAACTTGAAACTATAAAAAACCCAAAACCTATTAAACCCATAAAACCCATTAAAAAGTGAGTGAATGAAAAATGTGGTATAGCCATACAATGGAATTCTACTCACCAATAAAAAGGAACAAATTACTGATTTACGCAATTACATGAATGACTTTCAAAAATACTATGCTACTGGAAGAGTTATGCCAGTGGAAATGGCAGAGTGAGAAACTCCAAAAATCTAGCCTTCAATAAAAGTAATAATGCAAAAACTATCAGAGTCAATTTTTTGCAACTATGAAAATTAAAGAAAGATTAGAAACAAACTGGGAACACTTATTCAAGAAACAGCTAATCTCAGTGAAACAACAAGCTTTGTGGTTTTAAACTTACCCCAGTTCCATTTCTTACTCTGCAGCTGAATGGTAGCTTTGAAAATGACAATTCATATTTAGGTGGTAAAGGGAGCAGAAGAGACCTCATTCACACACAAAAATATATATAATTATATGTTTTAGCCAATGTGGTGGTTCCCTGTAAGATCATCTCAGAAGGCTTGTCTTTATTTTGCCTAACTCAACACTAGTCCAGTGCTAGAGACACTACTCAGGGATGGAAGTGGAGTATTTATCAAAAACATATACAGGCAAATGTTTTAGTCACTACTGCCTGAGGCACTGGATAACATTTGAGGTAAACAATAGTCTAACCAAAAAGCTCAGTAGGAAAAGATAGAGAATACGATATTTACAAGTTTTTGAAAGCTCTGACATATTTAAGGGAACTCAGAAAGCAATGCACATGTCCAGGTATATGTGTATACTAAGAAGGGACCTGAAAAAGCCCTAAGATCTCACCTTTGGCTAAACTTCAGACTGCACAAGCAGGAAGTGAAAGCTAATGCAGAGCTATAAACTGTTAGGCTGAATGCTGAAGGTGTGCCCAACATAGATACAGAGTCCTTTGGCAAAGATTAGGAGATTTTTTTGGTTCCAGGAAAAGATATCAATATTTCTATCCAATCATTAGCTGACCACTAAACTAACTTAACAGAGACTTTAGTAACCGCAAATGGTGAAGAATACAGAATTTACAGAATTGGTTCAGAAAAGTCACTAAATAAGTGAGCAACAACAATCACAATAGGCAGCAACAGTGACAAACCCTGAGGGTGGGAGGAGAATCTTATTTTCAGAGCTACACATTATAATATTCAAAATGTCCAGTTTAAAAAAAATGCAAGTCATGCGAAGAAACGAGTATGGCCCATACACGGGGATGGGGAGGAGCAATCAATAGAAATTGTCCTGGATGAAGCCCAGATATTAGATTTTCTAGACAGCCTTTAAATCAATTATTTTTAATATCTTCAAAGAGCTAACGGAAATAATGTTTAACACTAGCATGAGAATAGTCTCTCACCAAACAGAGAATATCAATAAAGTGATTGAAATAATAAAAATAAACCACATAAGAATTTTGGAGTTGAAAAGAATAATAACTAAAATAAAAATTTTACTAGAGGATCTCCACAGATTCAAGCAGACAGAAGAAGGAATCAGAGAATTTGAAGATAGGTCAATTGAGATTATCAAGACAGAGGAACAGAAAAAAATGAACATAGCCTCAGAGACCTGTGGGATACTATAAAGTATATCAATATATGCATAATAGGAGTCTCAGAAAAAAGGGAGAGAAAGAAAAGGGAGAAAATAATATTTGAAGAAATAATGGCCAAAACTTCTCAAATTTGATAAAAACATTAATCTATATATCCAAGAAGTTTAATAACTAGAAAAAAATTCAAGGAAATCCACACCTAGATATGTTATAATCAAACTGTCAAAGACAGAATTTTGAAGACAGTAAGAGAGTAGCAATTCCATACAATCTCATGATCGTCAATAAGATTAATGGTTGAGTCCTCATCAGAAACCATGGAGGCCAGAAGCAGTGGGATGACATTCAAAATGTTGAGGGAAAAACCTCTCAACCAAGAATTCTATATCTGACAAAAGTACCCTTTTAAAAGAGGAGAAATTAAGACATTCTCAGTTAAACAAAAACAGAATTTGTTGCTAGCAGATCTGCCCTACAAAAATGCTAAAGGGATTCCTTTAGGATAAAATGAAATAACACTAGCCAGGAACTAAACTCCACATGAAGAATAAAGAACATCAGGAAAGTTAACATCAGGAAAGTTAAATATAAAAGTATAAATGTGTTTT